TTGGGGCTTTAGGGTTTTAGGGTCTAGGGTTTAGGATCTAGGGCTTAGGGCTTTGGGGCTTTAGGGTTTTAGGGTCTAGGGTTTAGGATCGAGGGCTTAGGGCTTTGGGGTTTAGGGTTTAGGGAAACCCTAAACCCTAAACCCTAAACCCCTAAACCCTAAACCCACTTGTGCCGGAACTCGGAGTGTAGATTCTGGCCAATGGTTCAAGAACCTGAAGGCCTCAAACTCCAAGCGACTACCCCGAACCTCAGAACTCCTAAACCCTAAACCCTGAACCCTAGACCCTAAACCCTAAACCCTGAACCCTGAACCCTAGACCCTAATGTAGGGGGCCTTAGTAATTAGAATAGGTTTTTGTTTGTTTGTTTTTTTTTTTGGGGGGGTCCTTATTCCAATCATAGTATCATATACCCCCAAGCCCTATTCTAATTATTAAGGCCCCTACACCCTAAACCCTTATAGTAGCACTTATAGTATCCCTCTTAAGGAACCCTTTAACGGAACCCCTATTCTTCTCATCAACGCCCCTGAAATTACACCCTAAACCCTGGCCTAAAGCAACCGGGGAGCTTTTAGGCATAGGGGCGTCGGGTGTAGAGCTTTAGGATTTTAGGGCTTGGGCTTAGGGTCTGGGGTTTGGCGTGTAGGTTTTAGGATCACAGGGTTTAGGGGTCCAGGGTTTAGGTTGCAGAATCATTAGTCTACTTTCTGCCTCCACCTCGTTGCAGCAAGCAACTCAAGCACACAAATGCCCGCATACACGCATTTGCACAAACACATACACCTGCCAAACACATGCACACATATACACACACTCACACACACATAAATCTATACGGCGCAGAGTGTATATATACATCTATTGAAGCAAACATACACACTTGCATACATACTGACACGTACACACATGCAAGTATGCACATACACACATATACACATTTGCACATGCACATGCATATCAGTAAATATCTGAATGTAAAAGTGTTCTGCCATGGCAGCCAACCACGATCTCAGAAATCATCAAACAATTAGCACTTGCATTTCGAATCGGGTGGCTGACTCGGCAAGACTGACTTTGAAAGGAGGACTGACTTCCGACATGTAGATACAAGGTTGGCTATCGGATCCGGTTCTATAGGGGCAGCATGAGTAGTAGTTGGGATCAGAAGGCGCTTGATGTTGAAACCTCAGGGTGGGTCCCGAAACACTCGCAGAGAAGCCTCTGTAGATCTCGAAGCAGGCATGGTCGTATCTGAGCTTTGAAGACTCGGGATTTGAATTCTGTTCGGGATCGAGGGTTCAGGGTTTAGGGGCTCGGGATCCAGGGGTTTCGGGCTGAGGTTGTTGGGCTTCAAGTTTTGACGGGAGCGCAGGACTCCGTGAGTTTGATTCTGTATGGGGTCCCCCAAGTGCCGGCCGCGAGCTGTACCGAAATCGTGAAGCCCAGCAAGCGGGGCAGCAAAAGTAAGCATCAAAACTTGAAACCGCAACGCCCTAGACCCAAAAACCCTAAACCCTGTAAACCACGGCCAGAATGGTAACTATCGTAGTGGGCGAAGAGCCGATCAACCCGAAGATACAAACTCCACCGCGAGCCCGCGAAATGCCCCAAGACTGGGGTTGGGACATTGGGTTTAGAGTTTAGGTTGAGAGTTGAGGTTCAGGGTTTAGGGTGTAGGGTTTAGGGTAGCTTTGACCATACCCTAAACCCTAAACCCTAAACCCTAAACCGTTGACGAAGTGGCTCGTCGCGCTCTGCGAAAACCGCAGCATGGCGCCTTCTGAGGATGAGCGACGAGTTAGTGTCCGAGGCTAGGCTCTGAGTTGTAGGGCCGTAGGGTTTAGGTCTTGTGGGTTTAGGGTTTAGGCTTTAGGGTGTAGGGTTTAGGCTTTAGGGTGTAGGGTTTAGGGTTTAGGCTTTAGGGTGTGGGGTTTAGGGTTTAGGCTTTAGGGTGTAGGGTTTAGGGTTTAGGGTTTAGGGTGTGGGTGTAGGGGGTTTAGGATTTAGCGTTTTGGGTTTAGGTGGTGATTGTAGGCAGAGACCAAGATTT